TCGCCGTTCTTAAGCGTCCGGTTCGCCTTGTTCTTGACTTCAGCTATGGTAGCATTGATGGTGTCTATGCAGCTCGTGTAAGATGGCTCCTGTTCTTCTTGGGAATCTCTGGCTGCGAGATCTCTATCTCGAGCCTCGCGACTAGGGACCGGGCGTGCTTGAGTACCCTCGAAGTCGTCTTCATCGTCGGAATACGACGCCCAAGCCTCGCTGGACTTACTGAAGCATTGACCTCGGCTGATGTCAAAATTGAGGGAGTGGTTAATGATGCAGCTGGAGCGGTGCCGGAGACGCCCCGGCGAAGTTCTTCTTGCGGCGAGGACGAGGATTGAGTCAATCCAGCTCTCAGAAATAACGTTCCTAAGATCCCGCCGAGACTAGGAAAAATGTTCCTAATGAGCGATTATAATGGGGAAATCCCGAAAATTGGCCGAAAATATGTTCCTAACCGTTTTGAAAGTCCAAAATTCGTTCCCTCCGGGAACATTTCAAGTTCCTCGATGACTCCCTGGTCTGGCAGCCTGCGACAGTCCATCCATTCCACTTTGCCTGCGGGCCCGACTTCAGCCACTCCGCATCCTACGTTCGCATGAATGGCTACCCGGCCTCCTCTTGGTCTTCCCCCAGCCGCCTCCGTCCTGCTTCCGTCCGTGTAGAACTGCCTGGTCTTCCTGACTGCCTTTGGGTTGCCCTCCCGGTCAATGTCAAGGACAGTTCCTGTCAGTCCCGGCTGTACGCTATCTGGTTGCTGACCCTCAAGTACCTCCCCCACATATGGCCTGAGACGCTTAGTGTCCTCCTTCGAGAAGCCCCATCCATTTGTATATAGGGCACTCTTCACTACTCTTCTGACGATTGATTGGTCAATCCTGTCCCATGTCGTAACCCGTCCGATAAGGACTCCAGGCGTGGACTGTAGCGTCCGCCAAGCCCACCTCCCCGCCATCATGCGAATCCTCTCCGACTTTTTTGACGAACCACGCATAGGTCGCTAGCTGTCCCCATAGTTCGGCTCCGTAGCATATCTTTGGGATTATCACTCTGTGCCACAGGGCCTTCAAGACCTCCTCCGATAGCCCATACTGTCGCCGGCACAGAGGCGCATAAGCCCTCAGTCCCTTCGTCCCTCTCTCCAAGGCTTCCTCAGCATGTGCTCTAAAGCAGATTGTACCGCTCGGCGTGCTGCTCATGGTCAATCCCAACCACTTTACCTTTGCCTTTACCTTACTGCACATCTCGGGCATCTTGAATTTAACTATCTCCCTCGTTAAATCCCCACCCGGTATCCAGAGCTCTTTCTTTGCCGCTGCCAACGTGAGCTCCCCCTTCTCAGCCCAAGCCATAGCCGCTTGTCTGGCCCTCCTTATACCGTAGACCATTCCGTCCATACTATCACTTTTCACCCCCACTCCCTGGGAGTGACTCCCACGTCATCTGCATATAGCACCAGTTCCATCTGGTAGCGTGGTGCTAGCGGGTCATCCCTGTCCTCCCTGCATGCCTGCTCCAGATCCTTAATCACCCCGCAGGAATCCATAACATATAGTTTGGGGGACAGACTGGAACCTTGACTTACCCCCTTTGTCCTCGTGCGGCGCGCTGCCTCCCCGCACCCATTTCCCAGCCTGACTGACCTCCCACGCGGGAAAGACTTCGTAATGCTTACCCACTCCCTCCCCACTCGTTGTTCCACAGCTGTCTCTATTTTACCCCACTTACAGTGGTCGAAGGCTCCTGCCACATCCTCCAGTAGTACCCCGGAGAAAACCCTTCCTCCCGGACGGCCCCGTCTAACGTCGGCCTCGAGCCAGTCCTTCATCTGCTTGATCCCTGTGATCGTGCCTCGCTTTGCTACATAGCCGTGCACCTGCGGCGGGAGCACAGCCTCCTCCCAGTGCCAGAGTACGACTTTTTCCAAGATCTGGCCAGTACTCTCAGCAGGGATATTGGCCTGAACCTCTTCCAGGGTTGCCTGCTCATTCCTCCTTTGAGAGTCTTAGTACTAGTACTAGCCGTATCGGCTTGAAGGCGAGGGGAAAACCCCCAGCTCCACTGTGGCCCTCATGATCTCCCATATTTCGTCACTGAAGGCTTCCGATGCCTCCACTGCGGCCTACACGTGCTCATACACCCGATCTCCGATCTCCGGCCGCTTTCGCATTGGGTGTGGCAGCTATGAGTATACGGAAATCCTGCCTGCTCATACGCATTGCTGCCCCACCGACCTCGTGCATCCCCTCCTGCGTTCCCAAAGCCTTTTCTTCTCCGGGAGACTGTGGACCTACGAAGTGATCCATAGCCTCCTCCACGTCAAACCACTGCTACAGCGTGCGGGGCTTTGACCATCGCTTCACTGCTGCTTCGTCCATGGTCTCTATGGCTTTCCTCGCAGCCGTCCTCTTGCATCGTTTGATCTCCTTTAAGAGGTCCCTCCGAGCCGCGGCCTCTGCCAGCGCGTAGCGCTCGCTCTCCGACTGTCTCCTTGCTTTGCCTCTCGCCCGCTGGTACGTCCTACGCAGTTTCTCCAACCCTTCATTCCACCATTCTTTCGAACCCGGGCGCCTGGGTTGGCTTCCCTTCGTGGAGAGGCGTACGGCATCCCGCGACCTCGTCTCGATCATGCTTGCCCTTACCTCGAGCTCCGCTGGGCAGTCAATCCTCCCCCCAGGCTTCAGTTTGCTTATGTGGCCCAAGAAAGCCGGCCATCTAGTCCGCTTCGGGTCCCTCCGACCCTTATTGTTCGTCTGGCCCTGCCTGCCGACTACCCCCGGTGTCACGAGAGTGAGGCCTAGTGCCTCGTGGTCCGTCGGTATGCATACGCTCCTTACTATGTCAGCTCCTCCAAGGCATACCTCCGCCAAAGCTTCTCCCATAAAGAAGGCGTCGATAGCCGAGTTCCATCTTGTGTTACGAAAGGTGCTTCGGGCTTCATTGACATTCATACATGCCAACCCCTCTACGTCTGCCCATCGCATGATCTCCTCCCCTCTGATCCCCGAGTCCTTCACATAGCGGCCCTGATCGCGCCTTCCTCCATCCGTTGAGCACCAGCTCTTCGAGAGCGCATTCAAGTCGCCTCCGATAGCTTTCCACCGCCCGCCTCTGATCCTCCCTAGTATCTGTTCCAGCGGCCTGTCTCTGGCTAAATATACTGAGGTGACTTCTATCCATCTGTTCCATCCACCTAGCTTGGCCTCTACGGTACAGAAGTCCTCCGCTGCCTCTACTAACCTGTATGGAATGTCTTTGATGATCAAAACTGCCGCTCTAGCCCTTGTCGACCCCGAGTGCCTGACCAGGTCGTAGTCCCCTATCCGTGTCGGCGCCGTCAATGGGAGCTCCTGCGCTAGCACTAACGTGGCACCAAGCCTGGCCAGCTTGTCTGCCGCTATCGCGAGTGCTCCTGGTGACCTCATCAGGTTAATGCTCACGAGTCGGACCCCTCCCACCGTCCCTCCTACTTCCCCCCTTGACCCGTTCCTCTCGTTCCTCCCATGGAGGTCTATCATGATGATGGGGTTCACCTGCCTCATTCGGCCTTGCGGCCCCTATTTGGGACGCCGCCGCCTCTCTCGCTACCTTGCCAGCATCGCATTTCATATATTCTATGGATCCATGGCCTTTCCCTCCGCAGTGCCCACAGCTCCGCTGACTCGCAGGTAGACTGCGCATGGTGCAGTTGCGCTGCTGATGCTCTACCTGTCCACACCACGCGCATCTCTCGGGCCTGTCCCGACAGCCTTCTTCCTCCGCGTGTCTCGCCGCGCACACATAGCAGACCCTTGTGTAATAATGCGACCTCACCATTGCCTTGGCTGCCCCTATGTACATGAACTCTTTCTCTCCTCCTTTGCCTAGAAATCTATTGGCCACCGCCTCCTCCATCTTTACTATGACCGTTGCCTTCCCTGTCTGCCCCTGCTCATCCCTCTTCGGCAGATCTTCACTATCACCCATGGCACGTCGGCCGGGACTCCATTTCTGCTGACCATCTCTTTCCTCATAGCCTGCTCATTGGCCAGAGCCATTGGAACACCCAAGATTGAGATTTCACATGATTTCTGGGCTAGCTCCTTGACCATTAGCCCTTCCGGCGGGGACTCTGTTAGTGCCCGATAGGTGTTTATGTCCCCCAGCTCCATGGCTAGGCCATGCGTTGTCCTCCATGTGCCAAGTATCCTCCATTTGGCTCCCTCTCCTCCAAGCGCCGCTGATTGCACTTTGCTTCTGCATTCCTCCGAGGACGAGGAAGAGTACGAGGAATTTCCTCGTACTCTTCCTCCTCGATTCTCGGCCATCTTCTCCCCTGCTCCACGCTTTGCACTTTGCGGGATAGCGTGGCAATAAACAACAGCTTGTTGGGTCGCCTTTTGGCTGCGCTTCTGGCCCCTCTGTTTCGCTGAACTTGTGTCCATCCACTTTCGTCCCTATCGATGTTTTGAGGTCCAGGTCTGCCAGACCTGGTCTGGAGGTCGCTCCCTGTTTCCCCCTACTCGGGCGGCGATAGACCGCTCTGTTGGCAGCTTCTGTGTTGCTCCGGGCCCGGGCCCTGGGTTCGACTCCCGGTAGCACCATGGTCCTTGCTGGACCACGACCAATATTCCCTCTACTGGTTGCCTCTGGCTGAGATACCGTGCGATTTCCACTGGCTTGCACGACCTGTGCCTGTCTCTCTACGGATAAGATGGCCTCCTGCAGGCTCTATTTTTCTTTCTCCCTCTCCGCCTTCATTTTGGCCAATTCCTCCATATGCTCAATTCTCTTCGCCCTCTCCAGCGCCAGCTCGTCGCATTTGAAGGCGTAGAGCTGGGCCATGTAAGACCCCACATTCCTCAGAAAGGCGATGCTAGTTTTGTAGTAGCGCCCTTCCTGGACTCCCAGCGTAAAAATCCGTATAACCTCTTTAAAAGCATCATCTGCTTCTACGTCTACCATCCTCAACTTCGCTTCCATCTCCTCATGCAGAGTTGACACCGGGTCCGCTTTTTCCTTGCGCTTCTTTCGACCGACGCCATCCTCCCTGATGCCGGGGTGAGTCGGATGCGGCGAGTCGCGAAGAGGCGTGAACGACCCGGAGGCAGGAGTGCCTCCGGGATTAGGGGTTTGAGAACCCCTGGGCATTGTTAACAAGAGAGAGCCAACTAACTTGAGAGCCAGAGATTCGTAGACTCGCGTCAGCGTTAGGCAGTGCATTACCTCTCAACTCGCTGAATCGGCGTTGTACAACATGATAGAGCCTGACGACTCATGATCAACAGCAAGTGTGTACGTTGACTAGTGTACGTTGGTTTAGTGTACGGTTGACTGATTAGTGCGCTTACATTGGTATCGTCGATACTGTATTGAAGATAAAAACATGTTTTACCGGAAGTTTGAATCTAACGGTCAAATCTTTATTCGAAGAGCGTTAGTGCCATGGCAGCCACGGACGAGTCTCGGGAAACGGAGAATGATTGCGCACAAGTTGGTGGTTAGTACTCAATGCTTCATTCTAAAAACTCAGTCTCGAATCCCAGTTGGTATGTGAGGGATTATTGCCCTCGAAGCTTCAACTATCTACGTAGACACAGTTTTTTTGGAGTCGTCGGCACTTCAACAGAATACTATGATGATAAAACGTAACTAGTAAAACGTAAAAACTTGGAGGTTGGGTTGTTGGTTCGCACAGAGAACGTGCTGGAGAAACCGCGCACGCCATAATAATCTATAATTGATTGGACTCTGCAAGTGCTCAAATTGTTTAGGTGTTATTGAACTTTAAACCAAAGGCAACAGCAACTTGAAACACATATGCGAATACAGTAACATGCTTTGCTGACTATTTGAGTGCAGAATCGCAATCGTTAGATTCAGAACTTAGTCTCCAACAAGGTTTGAAGGTGCCTCACGAAATGGTCGATGGTGACTACAATAAAAGCATATCGACATCCATTATCACAATTCTGGCAATGACTCTTCCAGGTGGTGAAGTACCTGCACAGAATAATCACAAAAGTTCAGCAAGAACGCTACTACGATTGGTATT